CGCCGGTTCAAGGTCGTCCGCGACACAGGTTGAAGGGCCGACATCCAAGCTGGCCACAGTAGGCGCGAGGCGTAACAGCATTGGAGGGGTCGGCATTCGAGCCCACCATGGCAGGTGCGGTGACGGCAAGCTCGCGCGAGTCAGGTCGGCGGCGGTCGGTTCGGGTTCAGTCGCCAGTTGCCACGGTTGCGACGCGAAAAGAGGCAGCTCAGCATCAGAGGCGAGCAGCTGTGGTAGGCGTGGCGTAGACACGGTGAAGGCGGTGGCAGGAGGCGCAGCAGGTCGCGAGAGCTAGGTCGTCCAGACGAGTCGGGTCGACGGCCGCGAACTGGGTTGAGCATTCGCGTCGCGGGCGTTAGGGTTTCAGGCAAGTCGGGTCGGCGGCCGGTGACCGGGTCGAGTTCACGGGTCGCAATCGGGTAGGGTTTGGTATTTGGGCCAGCTTTAAGCCTATTAGGTTTTATTTAGTTTTGGGCCTTTTAGTAGAACCTGGGATAGGTTTTTTAGGTTTTCGGCCTTTCGTGGGTGGGCCGAATTTGGGAATTGGGCTAAATTGTTAGTTAGTATTTTTTTTTCCTAGTGGGCTTGGGTGTTTTGTTTTTTTATTTGAATTGTGGGTTTATTCCGAATTGGGCCCTCATGGAGTCCACCTCATGGTGGACCCGGGCCGGCGCGCCCGGGTCGGCTTCGACAAGGGTCGGATGTGGAGATCCAACCCAGGTCCGTTTTATATTATTTTAATATTATATTATTATTTTAACATTAAAAAAAATTTTGAAAAAAAATTAAAATTAAAAAAAATTAAAAATTTCGAAATATCAAAAAATATTATTTGGACTTTGGAATTGGTTTTTCTTGCCCTATTGTGTGATTAGTGTCATGTTTGATTGCACGTTGCTTGGTTCACACACTATGAATTACGCGTTTGATTTAACCTCGCACGTAGTTTATTGGGCATATTAGGTTCTTGAGTTGATTATTGCTTACCCTAGTTCGGTTAGGAATCGAATTTTGAGACTCCCAATTAGTGTGAACACGTTAGGCGGTAATTGAACAAGGTTAGGTACCGAAAGGGCACTAGTTGGTCAATTAGTGTAATCAAGTCCCCGTACCCATTGAATCTCTGGTTCGTAGAAGTGAAGCATTTCTCCCATGCTTTACTTGGGTGTCTAATCGACCCACCAAAAACTGATTAGTGGTGACTCCTAGATAAAATTGATTTGCATGTTAATAATTTAAACCTAAGTCGCGAATTTGTATGGGTTTGAGAGAGCTTGAGCTAGGTTTAACTTAGTAATCCATTAGCCAAACCCCTTAGGCGGCGAACGCCGGTTCGGGGAGGTCACGACAATCATGATCTTATAATTGTCATCGTGTTTCTATTCTTGATATTTGTTATTAGGAGGCAAGTGTGAAATGTGTTAGAGAATTTCCACATCGGATAATTTGTGTGGTGTAAAACTGTTAATATATCTTAGTTATCTCATAACTCATTGGTTTAAGCTTTTGAGTAAATGTGGGTCTAACCGGATATGTTGAGGGGTTTAGACTTGGATTTTCTCTTGGTGATCTCCCCATGCAAAAGGTATCAGGCTTCTGTCCCACGCTCCCAACATTTGTTGAGTTTGTCTTGGATTATGTTTCGGGTATTTGATTCAAATTGAGTTTTGATACCCGAACTCGTGGTATGGAGTAATATAAATATTATTTTTTTTAAGTTATTAGGTTTTACAAAAAGGAGAGACATAAAGAGTTTTAGGTTTTCTCGAGTTACCTTTTGTAATCCTTGAATTTCCATAATAGATTTGGTTTCTTCTCTCCCCATGGTTTTCCCCACTAGGGTTTTCCATGTATATTTGTGTTTGTGTTTTTTTCTTTTCACTTTTAATTTCATTGTAGTTTCCGCATAAGTCATAATAGTATTTAAGTTGATAGACTATAGGGAATAGGTGATGTTCAAACCTAAGGCATGCCAAAAGCGGGAAATCTAAACACCATCACCTTATGTGGAACCGGGCATTCACAAAGGGGGTTGTAGTGACCAGGCCCCGGTGATTGTTGTACACAAGTGGTGTTATAAATATGCCAGGTTTCACGCAAGGTGAGACCTTCTACGCCTCCTCTTTTGGCGTGCATTAGGTTTCTTTATACAATACCTTGTTCCATTACGCTTATTACTAAAACATGAGTCGGAAAGAGTCTTAGGTTTTTTTGAGCCACCTTTTGTGATTCTTGAATTTCAATAGTGGATTTGGCTTCTCCTCTCTATTTGGTTTTTCCACAAGGATTTTCCATGTAAATCTATGTGTTTTTTATTTTTTCAGTTTTAATTTCGTTGTAGTTTCCGTATAAGTCATAATAGTATCTAAGCTTCAGGCTTGAGGGAATAGGTGATGTGTGGAGACCTAAGGCATGCCAAAAGTGGGAATTCTAAACGCCGTCGCCTTTCATAGAACCAGGCATTCACAAAGGGGGTTGCAGTGACCAGACCCCGATGATTGTTGTACACAAGTGGTGTTATATATATGCCTGGTTTCACAGAAGGTGAGACGTTCTACACCTCTTTTGGCATGCATTAGGTTTCTCTATACAATACCTCTTTCCATTAAGCTTATTACTAAAATTGGAGAGCATTCAAAAATTTCTTATGATTGTTTTTTCTTAAGTTATTAGGTTTTAAAAAAAGGAGAGAAAGAAAGACTCTTAAGTTTTTTCAAGTCACCTTTTGTAATCCTTGAATTTCCATAGTGGATTTGGCTTCTCTTCTCCCCATGATTTTTCCAACAGGGATTTTCTATGTAAATCTGTGTGATTTTTTATTTATTATTCTTAGTTTTAATTTCGTTGTAATTTCCACATAAGTCATAATAGTATCTCAACTTACATGCTTGAGAGAATAGGTGATGTGCAAAGACCTAAGGCATGCCAAAAGCGGGAAATCTAAACACTATCACCTTTCGCGGATACGGGCATTCACCAAGGGGGTCACATTGACCAGGCCCCGATGATTGTTGTGCACAAGTGGTGTTATATATATGCCTGGTTTCGCAAAAGGTGAGACCTACACCTCCTCTTCTGGCATGCATTAGATTCTTTATACAATACCTCTTTCCATTAAGCTTATTACTAAAATAGGAGAGAATTCAAAATTTTCTTCTGGTGCTATAATCATATAAAACCCAACATCATCAAATAATGCAAAAAAGAAGACTAGAACAGCATGAAACCCGTGGAAAGGAACAGTACTATGATGGAGATTGTACATGGAAGTACTTTTTCTGTGGGGTCACCATCACATGGGTGAAACCCTTTCCACGCAGTCTTCACCATAAAAGGTGCTTTCATGCAAACTGACGAACATAGTCTCGGAGTCTTTGTGATTGCTAATGCATAATTATTAATTTATGCAAGCTGTATCCCATTTAGCAGGGGCGAACACGGTTTCAGAATAAAATCGGAAACAAAAGAACTGGACTGGCGGGTCCGATTCCCAATTCTAAGGAGGGAGATTCCGGTTCCCGGTCCTATTTTTTAAGGAACCGCCGGTCCCCGGTTCGGTTTCCGATTCCTATAGGTACCAGAATAGAAATCGGAATTGCAACCGGGTACCATAATTGTAAAATTCCTACTTTTCTTCTCACTTTTTTGTCCTTGTGGTTTGTCCAATAACTAGTCTTTTGTTTTGTTTAACTAAAAATGAAATAAGAAAAAAAAAAGAACCTGTTAGAACCTGGAACCGACCCTGGAACCTGTGACAGGGTAGGTTCTAGGTTCCACGTTTCGATGGGTAGGTTCCAGGTTCCAAAAAATGAGGAACCTATACCCGATGGTAGGTTTTAGGTTCCAGGCGAAACCTGTAAGGAACCGGGAACCGCTTGCCCCTACCATTTAGGTAGGAAAATGATACTTCTGTGAATCCAAATGCATTAACATGATCTACAATCATGTTTTAATTTATTCATTGTGATCTTTGAATTTTAGCCCAATGTGCAACGTTGTTCATAAATTTTTAATTTATTCAATTTGGTCTTTGAACTTTTGGTACATATTCAATTTAGTCACTGGATTATATGAAAATATTAAATGTTGTCCTTCTATTAATTTAAGTTAATGGAATTTGCTGATTTGACTTCCAGTTCGGTATGTCAATAAAAAATAAACATTACATACGAATTATTCACATGAGATATTCAACTCGAATTAGAATATAATAATCCTTTTAATTTTTTTAAATTAAAAAGTGATTATCCACGTTATTTGATGATATGGATTATTATATCCTAATTTTAGTTAAATCTCTTTCGTGGATAATCTACATGTAACGTTATTTTTTTGTCCACCCTTCAAACTGACCGAATTGGAAGTCCAATCAACAAATTCTATTATCTTGAATTAATGGAATGATAACATTGGATATTTCCATATAGTCTAGAGACTAGTATGAATATTTATCAAAAGTTTAGGATTATATCGAACAAATTAAGGGTTCAGGGACGACATTATACATTAGACTAAAGTTCAAGGACCACGTTGAACAAATTACAAGTTCAGGAATAATATTGCACATTAGGCCAAAATTTAGGGACTACATGTGTAATTATCTCATGGTATTATTAGTTTGATAGAGAATGAAAACAAGTAATGGAGCAAAGGAGGACCGGTAGCAACTTAATGGATTCTGCATTACGAGGGCTTGTACATTGGATGCTTTTTTTCTGGTTTTTACTGTCACACACTCAACAGCATAAGGCGGCCAATTAACCTGCAATTACAAGAAAATCTCTGCAAGAGCTTACGTGGTGGCTCTTTTTTTTTTTTTTCATCAAAACCTTTTACAGCCGCCCACAGACTAGATTTTTGTTGGATTATCTAGGAGTTCTCTTATAAATAAATGGTTGTTGAGCAAATATTATCTATATAACCAATCTTCACCCACCAGGTTTGAGTGCACCGATTCCAATTTGTTGGGGAATCTTGGAGTGACCGGAAGAGATTCAAGTATGAAGATCGAAGTGCAAAGCAAGAAACTGATCAAGCCATCGGCTCCGACGCCGAACCACCGTCGAAAGCTAAACATTTCATGCGTTGATGAGCTTGTGCAGCCACTGTACGCCGGTTTCCTTTTCTACTACCGGGCTGATGGCGAAAACCATGAAGAGGATATTTTCCAAAGGATTTGCCTTTTGGAGGAGTCGCTTTCGGAAACTCTAGCGATCTTCTACCCTTTAGCTGGTCGGTACGTTGAGGAAGGGCTCTTTATTGACTGTAACGACAAAGGAGTAGAATTTGTGCACGCCAAAGTGAATGGCCAGCTCGATCAGCTCCTCCAGGGAGAATTTGACACAGACCTACTTGGCCATTTGTCCAAGTTCCGAATGGGACCAGCCAGCAATCCCCTAGTCATGATTCAAGCAAACGTGTTCGAGTGTGGGGGACTCGTGATCAGCCTGCGCTCTTGTCACAAGTTAGGCGACATGTGCACCATGGCGACATTCATGAACTCATGGGCTACCGCGTGCAGGAGCGGAATCCACGAAGTAGCCTCGCCGTATTTCGAGCTGTCCTCTCTATTCCCAGTGAAGGGGTCGGGGGTAACTCTTATGCCTCCACTTCTTGCTGGAGTAAAACTCACGATGAATCGGTTCTTATTCAGTGGCGCGGCCCTATCGAGATTAAAACTAGCTGGGCCTAAAAATGTGCGGATATCGAGAGTGGAGGTCGTGTCCGCACTGTTATGTAAGGCATTTGTAACTTTGGATCGAGCTAAACACGGGCGCCTGAGGCCCCTTGTCATTTGCCAGAGTATGAACTTGCGTGGGAGAGTTAATCTACCAATACCAACAAATGCGTTCGGTAACTTCATCACCAAGGTCACCGCCCGACACACGATGCATCAGAGCAGCCTGGATTTCGAAGTGTTTGTGAAGATGATCCAGGATATGTTCGCGAGCGCCAAGACAAGGTTTGCAGCGATAGCGGACAGAGAGTCGTGCATGGATATGGTGAAGGAATCTGCAAGAGAATACAAGGAAAGGGTTAACAGTGACGAAGATAATGTGGTGGACTTTACAAGCTGGTGTGGTTTCCCATTCTATGACATCCATTTTGGGTGGGGGAAGCCTGACTTGGTGAGCAACGCATGCAATCCTGTCCGTAAGATTTTTCTCATTGATAGTAAATCTGAGGGTGGAATCGATGCATGGATTACAGTAGGCCAAGAGGAGAAGGTTCTTCTTGAGCAAGACCCTGACATTGTTGCTTTCACTTCCTGAAAATTCTATTGGCAGTGGGCGGAGCGGTTGCGTGCACTCCCTTCCATCCAAATCGCGAGATCTGTTGAGATATAATAAAATTGATTTTCGTTGTTGAATTGTCAACATCTCTTGAGATCGATGGTAAACCTCTCCGTAGCGTTGTTCTTTCTCAGAGATCTCAATCACTCGGGAAGCATGTGGTTCATGACTTCCAAGTTATTCGGCTGCAATTACTCTATAAATAGAGTATTATGTGAAGTTTAGGAGCAAGCCACAAGGGCAAAAAGTTGCGGGTGTGTCCTTGTACAAGCTAGCGAGCTTTAAGTGTTTTGTGTGTGGTTTGAGAAACTATATTGTAATAATTGTGTGAGACAATACTTTGTTTGAGTGTTATATTTGTTTCGCAGTTTGGTATAACAAGCACGTCTCCAACGTCCTATTACAAATTCTCATTTTACCATCGCCGCTATGTTTCCGCATCGCAACAAGATCCGGGAGTTATTATTGCCTGCAGGGGGCGTTTACAAGCACCCATTGGTGGTAAAATTTCTCTAAATCTGGCTTCAGGTTCCCAATAAAGGTGGACAGACCCACCAAGCTATACGGAACTTATGTACTTCGATGCAAGCATTGGATGTCTAATAAGAGAATATTTACTTAGTAGGCTTGTTGTAATTTGGACACGATAAATCCGGCGAAATCCCCCGATCAGTCCTCTTAGGCCAGCATCTTGGCTCACCGCTGCCGCTGCCGCCGCCTCCAGTACTCACTGCCCACCATCTGCACAATCCAAATGATCTCCAAGACATTCCCCACCACGCTCGTTTGCGTCGTGCCACCCAACTACCCGTCTTTCTCTCGCTTCCTCGCTCATTCCCACCCTTGTCCTCTCTGCATCATTCATAGGTCACAGATCCGTGGCACTCGTGGTGGGCCATCATATATGTGGGCTCTCGACCTCCGTATTGGAGGTCCCCAGCTCCACAGAGAGAGAGAGAGAGAGTCGCGGCCAAGATCGCCAGAGACGACAGCTGCGGCGGCTGAGACGACTGCCGAACAGCGCGGCAGTGGCACGACAGGCTCTGCAATCGTCAGACCTACATTAGTCAGGGCTGGGGAAGAAGGGAGGGAGAGAGGAAAGAAAAAAATAATGAAAAATGCAAATAAAAAGACGAGAATAAACCTCAACCATTCAATACTCATTATGCCGAGGCGTCACTCGGACGGGATACACTTCAAGTGTTAACCAAGCACAAGAACTGCAGTTTGGACTCCACCGAGAATGCAAGAAATATTTTCGTGGATAATAAAATTATTTATTTATTTTTATTAGCGATGTAAGTTATCATTTTTTTAAAATTATTTTTAAAATTATTTATTCAAAATACGCGTTTGCACTATTTACTTTAGGAAAATTGTCTACCTGTTTACTATTTGTTATTTCCCTTTTCTAACCCTCAACCTTCTCTCACTGGCTCGACATCATACCTCTCTATCTTTGCCTCGAGCTCTAACCTTTGTGGCCATGGCCACTAGGTCTAGATCAAGTGACGTCATCGGAAGAAGAGGAGAGGGAGGGGGGAGAAGGTCGACTGCGGTGGCGAACAAATGTGTTGTGGGTGTGAAGGTTAGGATTCACGGGGAGTTGAGGAGCTTGGAGATTATAAGAGGGGTAATTTGGTTCTTTCGGAGTAGGGATTTTATCTACCTGTACCCAACTAATAATTTAAGAAACAAGAAATGGAATTGCTCTTGGTAAAATATGAAGTATGTATTCGGTACATTCTCATAAAATGCAGGGAAAAAGCCACAAAATCTTCAAACTATGTACACGGTAACACATTTACCTTGAACTCTTTTTTGTAATATATAAAACCGCAAACTATGTTCAATATGACACATTTATCCTAAAGTTTTTTTTTATGCTATAAAAAATTCCAAACTTGTACCTTGGCGACATGTTTACCGCCAAGGTTTTGTTAGATTATTTTTCAGTCAAAATAATATCGTTTTTATTTCATTTAAGTTCCGTGGACGCCTTGTCAACATGGTTTGCTTTCTGGTAAATTTTTAATGGTTCTCATTAACAAAATTTTGACGGAGGTAAATATGTCACATAGGTATAAATTTGGGATTCTTGGAGTCACAAAAAAAAGTTTAGGATAAATGTTTGGGCATAATTTAGAATTTTTGGTGATTTTTGCACTAGAATGTAAAAGGCAAAGGTGTGTTATGCAAAACTGGCGCAGTTTGGAAAGATACACCTGCAAAAGTTATAGATATGGATATAAATAACATATAGGAAAATGCTAGCGCTAGTGAAATATGTACAGTGAAATGATTTGGGTTTTCAAATGTAATAAGCACACGTCTTCCTTCTCTTTTCTTGAGCGGCTCCTTCTGTCCTGGCAGCTCATGTGCATTTTACTCAAGGAACCCTAAGCATCCTTAGCTGTTTGGCTACAAAAAAGAAGAAGATGGAAAAGGTATAGCCTTTCTTTTTTGGGATATGTGCATTAGAAGTCTTAAAACTTGTCACAAAAATGCAATTGAGTCCTAAAACTTTCAAAAAGTGTAAACAAGTCCTAAAACTTTTCACGAAAGTGCACTTGAGTCCTAAAACTTGTCACAAAAGTGCAAACAAGTCCTAAAACTTGTTACAAAAGTGCAAACAAGTCCTAAAACTTTCAAAAAGTACAATCAATGGAAGGACTTGATTGAACCAATTTGACAAGTTTTAGGACTTATTTGCACTTTTTTAAAGTTTTAGGACTCAAGTGCACTTTCATGACAAGTTTTAGGACTTATTTGCACTTTTTGAAAGTTTTAGGACTCAATTGCACTTTCGTGACAAGTTTTAGGACTTTGAATGCACTTACCCCTTTTTTTTATTTTTTTATTTTCTTTCTTTTCACTTGGCCCCACTTGCTTCTTTTAGTACGTCCATATATGAAAGGCACATGAGTCCCCTTGTTTGATCGTGGAGATATATATTTTATAAAATAAGAGTGCCCTTTATTTTGTCTTCTAGTGGCAAAGCTTCTCGCAATCAAACTTGAAGACACATCAAATTTTGAACAAATCAAAATATTCCAATGGGTCACGTTCGGTACATGACTAAAACTCAAGAAACAATTTAGTAGAACCAGCGGCGCGATGAGATCAACTTGTGCAACATCAAATTGGTCAGGATCAGTTGTCATTAAACGCCAACATTGCTCTTTTTACGAAAGCATTATACTGGTAGTGCTCATCGCATCCGGCGCAGCCTTCAATGAGGCACGTGCGCGACTTTACCCGAATAAATCAAGTCCTGTAATGAAGATGCTCAAGGAAAAGCTTGCTATGTCATCTGAGGGTCACATCCTGATCTGAGGCATAAGATTTGTAGATTTTGATGAGCATAATGGATGGGTTATTACTTGTTACTGCTCCAATCAATGCAATGAGTTTACTATCCATGCTCTCAGTGGTTTATTTTGATTTAGTGTACAATATATCATCTGCTTTGCTAGCTGCTATTCTAACTTTGACCTTCAGTTCCTGAACTGGAATTCCTTCGATACCCTAGCCAACTGTATTGACCCTGAGAGTGGGCCACCGTTAGATTTAAAGTGAAATCATTGATAAATCAAGTACTACTGCTAATAGAAAAATTATTTTTATCTAATCTAGTAGTTACTTCATCATGATCTTGTAATTGTCATCGTGTTTCTATTCTTGATATTTGTTATTATGAGGCAAGTGTGAATTGTGTTAGAGAATTTTCACATCGGATAATTTGTGTGGTGTAAAACTGTTAATATATCTTAGTTATCTTATAACTCATTGGTTTAAATTTTTGAGTAAATGTGGGTATAATCGAATATGTTGAGGAGTTTGGACTTGAGTTTTTTCTTGGCGATCTCTCCATGCAAAAGGTATCAGGCTTCTATCCCACGCTCCCAACATTTGTTGAGTTTGTCTTGAATTATGTTTTGGGTATTTGACCCAAATTGAGTTTTGATACCCGAACTCGTGGTATGAAGTAATATAAATATTATTTTTTCTTAAGTTATTAGGTTTTACAAAAAAGGAGAGATAGAAAGAGTTTTAGGTTTTTTCGAGTCACCTTTTGTAATCCTTGAATTTCCATAGTAGATTTGGTTTCTCCTCTCCCCATGGTTTTCCCTGCAAGGGTTTTCCATGCATATTTGTGTTTGTGTTTTTTTCTTTTCACTTTTAATTTCGTTGTAGTTTCCGCATAAGTCATAATAGTATTTAAGCTGATAGACTATAGGGAATAGGTGATGTGCAAACCTAAGGCATGCCAAAAGCGGGAAATCTAAACACCATCACCTTATGCGGAACCGGGCATTCACAAAGGGGGTTGTAGTGACTAGGCCTCGGTGATTGTTGTACACAAGTGGTGTTATAAATATGCCTGGTTTCACGCAAGGTGAGACCTTCTACGCCTCCTATTTTGGCGTGCATTAGGTTTCTTTATACAATACCTTGTTCCATTACGCTTACTACTAAAACATGAGTCGAAAAGAGTCTTAGGTTTTTTCGAGCCACCTTTTGTGATTCTTGAATTTCAATAGTGGATTTGGCTTCTCCTCTCTATTTGGTTTTTCCACAAGGATTTTCCATGTAAATCTATATGTTTTTATTTTTATTTTTCTCAGTTTTAATTTCTTTGTAGTTTCCGTATAAGTCATAATAGTATCTGAGCTTCAGGCTTAAGGGAATAGGTGATGTGTGGAGACCTAAGGCATGCCAAAAGTGGGATTTCTAAACGCCGTCACCTTTCATAGAACCAGGCATTCACAAGGGGGGTTGCAGTGACCAGGCCCCGATGATTGTTCTACACAAGTGGTGTTATATAAATGCCTGGTTTCACAAAAGGTGAGACGTTCTACATCTCTTTTGGCATGCATTAGGTTTCTCTATACAATACCTCTTTCCATTAAGCTTATTACTAAAATTGGAGAGCATTCAAAAATTTCTTATGATTGTTTTTTCTTAAGTTATTAGGTTTTATAAAAAAGAAGAAACAGAAAGAGTCTTAAGTTTTTTTGAGCCACATTTTGTAATCTTTGAATTTCCATAGTGGATTTGGCTTCTCTTCTCCCCATGGTTTTTTCCGCAAGGATTTTCTATGTAAATCTGTGTGTTTTTTTTTATTTATTATTCTCAGTTTAATTTCGTTGTAATTTCCACATAAGTCATAACAGTGTCTGAGCTTACATGCTTGAGGGAATAGGTGATGTGCAGAGACCTAAGGCATGCCAAAAGCGGGAAATCTAAACACTGCCACCTTTCGCGAATCCGGGCATTCACAAAGGGGTTCACATTGATCAGGCCCTGGTGATTGTTGTGCACAAGTGATGTTATATATATGCCTGGTTTCGTGAAAGGTGAGAACTTCTACACCTCCTCTTCTGGCGTGCATTAGATTCTTTGTACAATACCCCTTTCCATTAAGCTTATTACTAAAACAGGAGAGAATTCAAAATTTTCTTCTGGTGCTTATATCATATAAAACCCAACATCATCAAAAAATGCAAAACGAAGACTAGAACAGCACGAAACCCGTGGAAAGGAACCCTTTCCACGCAGTCTTCACCGTTAAAGGTGCTTTCATGCAAACTGACAAACATTGTGTCAGAGGCTTTATGATTGCTAGTGTATAATTATTAATTTATGCATGCTGTATCCCATTTAGCAGGGGTAACACGATTTCAGAGTAGAACTGAAAATAAAAGAGCCGGATCGGTGGGTCCGATTCTCGATTCCAAGGAGGGAGGTTCCGGTTTCCGGTTTCATTTTTTAAGGAACCGTCGGTCCTCGGTTCGGCTCCCGATACGGGAACCGAAACCGGGTACCATAATTGTAAAATTCCTAATTTTCTTCTCACTTTTCACGATCCACTCTCAATCTCAGCTCTCAAACTCTCATTGACGGCGTCACACTGAACCTTCCGCGTTCCACCCTGACGCCGAGCCTCTTCCACCGCCGCGACGCTGAGCCTCTTCCGTCACGACGCTGAGCCTTCCGCGTTCCATCGTGACGCTGAGCCTTCCGCGTTCCATCGTGACACTGAGCCTTCCGCGTTTTGCCGCGACATTGAAACCCTTCCGCCGTTGCGACGCTAAGCCCCTTTCATCACTTCGCTTACCTCGTCTTCTGCTACATTCAAGAATCAGGTAACCAAAATTTCTTCTTTGCCTCCTTCTGGTTCATTTTTGTAGATGAGGTGACGGCAGTGGCCGATTTGGTGTTGCGTTGTTGACGACTCTAGGGTTTCTGTCAATTTGGCTCGTGCGGTTGTTAGAGCACTTTGAAGTTGGAGTTTTGTTCCTGCTTGTTTGTTTGCTAAAATTGTTGTAATGGCTGAGTTGATTTTTCGTTTGGGGCAAAAGGGCATCTGAATGGGTATAGATATAGCCATGGCCAGGTCTCTTTGCTTTGAACTAATTTTTCCGAATTGGTATTAGTATAGATAAAGCATTTCTATCTATTTTTCCTTACTTTTTGACTTGTAGCCGTAGCCTGTAGGAGTTGGTTTTGGTTTTAAGTGAATGGAAGTGGGAAAAATAGAGTGTGAACTCTGACTTATATAAATTAATCAAGTGAAAAAATAGAGTGTAAACCTTGACTCTATTCGCCTCTTTCCTAGTGATTCACGATCTAACAAGTCAAAAACTCAACACTGCCACACGAAATCAATTCATCCGAATGGGTAAAAGGGCATATGTTTTTTCCAATTAGAGGATAGCTTTGTCTGTGCCACCCTAGTCTGAACAATATTTCCAAGGAAAATCTGAATACTACTCAATTCTCCCCTACTTATGGATTTGGTAGAGAAATTGACATCTTTTCTAGTCTAGAGGAGCTTGGAGGGGAATATGGGTTATGTGATTTTGTCCTTGTGTTGTGTCTGCTTCTTTTGTTGAGAATTTTCTTATGGGTAGGTTTGGGATGTGATCATGGGGGAAAGGGTGATCTTTTTAGATCCAGTTGGGGTCAATGCAAGCAAACTTGAAATCATGAGTATAGCTTATGTCACCGGGAAACTTGCTACTGTCAAGAATTTATCTCGTTCGGTCTTTCTCCGATGGCTTTAATGTAGAATATTTAGAAATTGTTATTACTATGGATATGGTTGTGGTAATTGATCTCGGCTCATTTATGCTTTATCATTTGTGGTATATATGAAAAATCTGATTTGATTGTGAGTATATGGACTAAATTGCAGCTTGGAGGAAGACACTGGATTAGTTTTTAGATTTGTCATTGGTAGGACTAATGATGGGGTGAAGATGATGGAATTGAAAAGGGAAGTGGCACAGTATGATGACTTCTTACTGTTGGATATAGAAGAGGAGTACAGCAAACTCCCCTACAAAACGTGAGCGCCATTCTCTCTCTGTGTGATCGGCTTTAAATTGCAGGTTAGCTTTCTTCAAAACCGCCTATGCACTTTTTGATGCTGAGTTCTACGTTAAAACAGGATGATATCTATCTCAGGCCATCATTTTTAATCTTGCTCAACATATATGTCAACATGTATGGCTGTTATTATTGGTATTTTTTACACATACCACAAATGATGTCATGTTCTTTTTTTGTGATATCCATCTTGATTTTGATGAGAGTCTTCATCCTTAGTTGCAAATGATAAACAAATCCATTATGTAACAGGCCACTCTTTATTCTTTAGACCTTTACAATCTTCGTGGTTTGTCCAATAACTAGTCTTTCGTTTTGTTTAACTAAAAATGAAACAAGAAAAAAAAAAAGAACCCGTTAGAACTTGGAACCGACCCTGGAACCCGTGACAAGGTAGGTTCCAGGTTCCACGTTTTCATGGGTAGGTTCCGGGTTCCAAAAAATGAGGAACTTGTACCCGATGGTAAGTTTTATGTTCCAGGTGGAACCTGTAAGGAACCGGGAACTGCTCACTTCTACCATTTAGGTAGGAAAATGATACTTCTGTGAATCCAAATGCATTAACATGATCTATAATCATGTTTTAATTTATTCATCGTGATCTTTGAATTTTAGCCCAATGTGCAATGTTGTTCATAAATTTTTAATTTATTCAATTTGGTCTTTAAACTTTTGGTACATATTCAATTTAGTCACTGGATTATATGAAAATATTAAATGTTGTCCTTCTATTAATTTAAGTTAATGGAATTTGCTGATTTGACTTCCAGTTCGGTATGTCAATAAAAAATAAACATTACATATGAATTATTCACATGAGATATTCAACTTGAATTAGAATATAATAATCCTTTTAATTTATTTAAATTAAAAAGTGATTATACACGTTATTTGATGATATGGATTATTATATCCTAATTTTAGTTAAATCTCTTTCGTGGATAATCTACACATGTAACGTTATTTTTTTGTCCACCCTTCAAACTGACCGAATTGGAAGTCAAATCAACAAATTCTATTATCTTGAATTAATGGAAGGATAATATTAGATATTTCCATATAGTCTAGAGACTAGTATGAATATTTATCAAAAGTTTAGGGATTATATCGAACAAATTAAGGGTTCAGGGACGACATTATACATTTGACTAAAGTTCAAGGACCACGTTGAACAAATTACAAGTTCAGGAATAATATTGCACATTAGGCCAAAATTTAGGGACTACATGTGTAATTATCTCATGGTATTATTAGTTTGATAGAGAATGAAAACAAGTAATGGAGCAAAGGAGGACCAGTAGCAACTTAATGGATTCTGCATTACGAGGGCTTGTACATTGGATCTTTTTTTCTGGTTTTTACTGTCACACATTCAACAGCATAAGACGGCCAATTAGCCTGCAATTACAAGAAAATCTCTGCAAGAGCTTACGTGGTGGATCTTTTTTTTTATTTTTAATCAAAACCTTTTACAGCCGCCCACAGACTAGATTTTTGTTGGATTATCTAGGAGTTCTCTTATAAATAAATGGTTGTTGAGCAAATATTATCTATATAACCAATCTTCACCCACCAGGTTTGAGTGCACCAATTCCAATTTGTTGGGGAATCTTGGAGTGACCGGAAGAGATTCAAGTATGAAGATCGAAGTGCAAAGCAAGAAATTGATCAAGCCATCGGCTCCGACGCCGAACCACCGTCGAAAGCTAAACATTTCATGCATTGATGAGCTTGTGCAGCCACTGTACGCCGGTTTCCTTTTCTACTACCAGGCTGATGGCGAAAACCATGAAGAGGATATTTTCCAAAGGCTTCGCCTTTTGGAGGAGTCGCTTTCGGAAACTCTAGCGATCTTCTACCCTCTAGCTGGTCGGTACGTCGAGGAAGGGCTCTTTATTGACTGTAACGACCAAGGAGTAGAATTTGTGCACGCCAAAGTGAATGGCCAGCTGGATCAGCTCCTCCAGGGAGAATTTGACACAGACCTGCTCGGCCGTTTGTCCAAGTTCCGAATGGGACCAGCCAGCAATCCCCTAGTCATGATTCAAGCAAACGTGTTCGAGTGTGGGGGACTCGTGATCAGCCTGCGCTCTTATCACAAGTTAGGCGACATGTGCACCATGGCGACATTCATGAACTCATGGGCTACCGCGTGTAGGAGTGGAGTCCACGAAGTAGCCTCGCCGTATTTCGAGCTGTCCTCTCTATTCCCAGTGAAGGGGTCGGGGGTAACTCTTATGCCTCCACTTCTTGCTGGAGTAAAACTCACGATAAATCGGTTCTTATTCAGTGGCGCGGCCCTATCGAGATTAAAACTGGCTGGGCCTAAAAATGTGCGGATATCGAGAGTGGAGGTCGTGTCTGCACTGTTATGTAAGGCATTAGTAACTTTGGATCGAGCTAAACACGGGCGCCTGAGGCCCCTTGTCATTTGCCAGAATATGAACTTGCGTGGGAGAGTTAATCTACCAATACCAACAAATGCGTTTGGTAACTTCGTCACCAAGGTCAACGCCCGACACACGATGCATCAGAGCAGCCTGGATTTCGAAGCGTTTGTGAAGATGATCCACGATATGTTCGCGAGCGCCAAGACAAGGTTTGCAGCGATAGCGGACAGAGAGTCGTGCATGGATATGGTGAAGGAATTTGCAAGAGAATACAAGGAAAGGGTTAACAGTGACGAAGATAATGTGGTGGACTTTACAAGCTGGTGTGGTTTCCCATTCTATGACATCGATTTTGGGTGGGGGAAGCCGGACTTGGTGAGCAATGCAGGCAATCCCGTCCGTAAGATTGTTCTCATTGATAGTAAATCTGAGGGTGGAATCGATGCATGGATCATAGTAGGCCAAGAGGAGAAGGTTCTTCTTGAGCAAGACCCTGACATTGTTGCTTTCACTTCCTGAAAATTATATTGGCCGTGGGCGGAGCGGTTGCGTGCACTCCCTTCCATCCAAATCGCGAGATCTGTTGAGATATAATAAAATTGATTTTCGTTGTTGAATTGTCAACATCTCTTGAGATCGATGGTAAACCTCTCCCTAGCGTTGTTCTTTCTCAGAGATTTCAATCACTCGGGAAGCATGTGGTTCATGACTTCCAAGTTATTCGGCTGCAATTACTCTATAAATAGAGTATTATGTCAAGTTTAGGAGCAAGCCACAAGGGCAAAAAGTGTGATCTTTAAAATAGAGAGGTAACAGTCGTTGCCCATATGTGAGGGAGAGAAAAACTAAAAGAGTTGCGAGTGTGTCTATGTATAAGCTAGTGAGCTTTAAGTGTTTTGTGTGTGGTTTGAGAAACTATATTGTAATAATTGTGTGAGATAATATTTTATTTGAGTGTTATATTTGTATCGTAGTTTGGTATAACAAGCGCGACTCCAGCTTCCTATTATAAATTCTCGTTTTACTATCGCGGGCTTTTACGAGCTGACTTAATCTCAACAAGGACTCGGTTACGTGGGACTCACATGGACCTCATAATTTTGAAGGGCTGAGATTGAGTGGGCTGACGAACACTCGGTGTAGGTAAAATTTCTCTAAATCCGGCTTCAGGTTCCAATAAAGGTGGACAGACCCACCAAGCTATATGGATCTTATGTACTTCGATGAAAGCATTGGATGCTTAATAAGAGAATATTTACTTAGTAGACTTGTTGTAATTTGGACACGATAAATTCGGCGAAATCCCCTGATTCTCTATGGGATATTAGTATTGGTGAAAATGAATAATTTACTAAGCTCAAATATATCATGCCCTAGCAATTTAAGGCGTGGTGGCCGAAGGGAGCATATCCCATTGGTCAATGTTAAAGTTGAGGCAGTGAGATAGAGTCTCAATACGTTATGATTAAAACTCCTTGAGATTGCATATTATCTATTGTGGGCCGATCTTTATTCTACATCATGACAATTCGACAAATACTAGAGATATCTAATTTCGGTAATAATTAGTTGTCCAGTACATGATATTGATTCCAAGGATGTTCTTGCATTAGTTTTTGACTGCACGGATAGTTGCGTGTAGCCATGTTCTCGCTCTGCTACATCATGTACGAGAGATTGTGCAACTCTAACCCTCTCGTAGGGTTTCTCTCCTTCGGAAGAACTACCATCTTCCTCATAGGGAGTCTTCCTCTCCCTTAGTTAGAGTCTACCTCTCCACTGTTGGTAGTTTGTAAAACAAACGAAGAGGTGCCTCGTCCCACTTGGCAGTTACTTATTAGCGGTTATATCGGAAGGAAAGGTTGTATCTGTTTATACATATTTTTCGCTATTAATTACACAACATTTCTGTTCAATAGATTATTTTCTTCCATTTTTCATTTCTTTCATATTCAGCCATTGTTTTCAATTGTTTCCTTTTGAGAGTTCTTCTGGTATTCTCATTGAAACTTTGTTGTATCCTGGAGAATTTTTGCCAGTAATCATTAGCAACATTTGTGGGGCAAATAATTCCTTAAAGAGAGAGTTGTCATAGCTCAAAGCCCGACTCCATTCTTCTGCCCAGTCACTTGATTTTTCCCCAACACTTCGGCAACAATGGAGTCAGAGTCAATCAAAGTCATGAATCAAGACATGGTGAAACTGGACCAATTTTTTTTTTTTTGGGTCAGAAAATTGGACTAGTTTGATGGCAAGAATTTCGCCCGTTGGAAAAACAAGATGATGTTTCTTCTCACTACCTTGAAGATTTCCTCCATTCTGGATTCCAATCTGCTGCCTATAGAGGATCCAAAGCCTACCATTGAAGTAAGACAGCCAAGTGCAAAAGCCGTTGAAAGGATCAACAAGGAGAGGAAAAAACTTGAAGAGGACGAGTTGCTTTGTCGTTGGCATATTCTGAACACATTGTTCGAGGGAAAAGTGTCAAAAAAGTCCTAAACCTTTTGCATTAATGCCAATTGAGTCTTAAACCTTTTTTTGATGTTAATTCAGTCCTAAATCTTTTGCGTTGGTGCCAATTGAGTCATAAACCTTTTTTGGTGCCAATTTAGTCCTAAACCTTTTGCATTGGTGCTAATTCAGTCTTAAACTTTTTGCATTGACGCCAATTTAGTCCTAAATCTTTTTTTGGTGCCAATTCAGTCCTTCGACACGTGAATAGCTATTAGCCCGAATGACTGAATTAGCACCAATGCAAAAGGTTTAGGACTGAATTGGCACAAATGCAAAATGTTTAGGACTGAATTGGCACAAAAAAAGGTTTCGGACTAAATTGGCATCAATGCAAAAGGTTTATGACTGAATTGGACCTTTGCAAAAGGTTTAGGATTGAATTGGCACCAAAAAAAGGTTGAGGACTAAATTGGCACCAATGCAAAATGTTTAGGACTGAATTGGCACAAAAAAAAAAGTTTAGGACAAAATTGGCACAAATGCAAAAAGTTTAGGACTTTTTTGACACTTTTCTCCATTGTTCGATTGATTGTATGATTTATTCACTGAGATGATGTGACATCCTGAAAATTGGTCCATTTGGGATTTATAAAATACTGAGTTTTATCAAATGTACTCGTAGTAAATTCTCACTCGGAACTGATCATTCCTGGGATACTAACCATTGGGGAAAGGCTGACTGGAGATTTAAATTCGTACGACTAAGAGAAAATTCGATCGTGAATTGGCTTTCGACCATAAAATCGTCGAGGTGACATTTTGAGCCACTGTTGGCCGATCCGAGGATAACTAGGGGTCAGTTCGCCACTGTCATAGTAGTAGATCGCTGGTGATTCCGCTGGACCACGAAATGAATTGACGAACGATCCTGAACTTATACCAAACGATCGTGCCCCTCGGATCTAGTGATTGATCCTCGCGATTTAAATGACAACCGAAGTCATCGCGAACCGAATGAACTTGCACGTGACTCGATTTATTATCAGTCACAGGTCGAATATGCGAATTTCCCCAAAAAGCCGCCCGTTAGTTTGAGAAACACTCGAGTTGCGTTTAATAAAATTTAATTATTTAATTGAGCCCAAATTAGACATCGGAAAATTAAGAAGTCACAACGGGACGTTAGGACGACGTTGCGGTTAGAACGTGTAATTTTGGATTGTCCCGATTCCTTCAGAAAAATTCAATTTTGGCGAGAAATGAGAGAAAGGACCATTTTGCCCTTGGGAATTTATGAAGGGCATGTTTTATGAAGGAGGGGTATTTTGGTAATTTTGCCATAGTTTTGGAAAATGACAATTTTACCCTTGGACTTTTTGAGAAATTCCTGAATTGCCCTTGGATATTTTGGGTAAGACTCGATCTCGGCCGTCGGTTTCAAGATAAGATCGAATCTGGGCCATCGATTTCGTTTGTGAGAGAGGGGCAAGATTGTAATTTGCCATTTTGGTCCAAGTTCCACTATTTGAGTCAAGACTCTCTCTCTCTCTCTCTCTCTCTCTCTCTTCATTCTCCCTCTTCTCTCTCCGGCTAGCCCCCTCCCCACCATGAGCTTTCTCTCTCTCCCTCTTTCACCGCCGATCGCCCCTCCCTTCGCCTGTACGCCGGCGTCGCCGCTCACAGCCCGCCGTGCCGCCGTCCTACGCCGCCGTACTGCACCACCATCACCACCCCGTGCCGTCCGTCTCTCTCTCTCCTCACCCGTGGCCGTGACCCACGGCAAGGAAGCCGTGCCGCCGCCGTGCGTCGATCGCCGTCCGTCGAGCCAAGCCGCGCCGTTCGCTGCCGTCCTTGCCAATTGCCGCCACTTGTCGCTCTAGCCGAGATAGTCTAGGGCTCGGTAAGTCGCGCCCTAAACCCAATCTAGGACATTGGGTATCGACAGGTGATTTTAGGTTGAAATCGGGTTTATGTGGATGTGAAATTGTACGATTAGGATGCGGAATCAATTAGCGGGCCTAGGATTGAATTCGGGACATTTTTAATGGATATTTCGAGGCCAATAGGTGGCTGTGATTGGCTGTTCAATGGGCTGTGATGTACTAATCGGGATGAAATTTGGATATTTAGAACCGGCGATTAATTGTGAGAAAATGTCGTGAAGGGCCGGAATTGATTTGCCGCCGTTTGGTTGGGGAAAAATGGCAAATTGTGTGTTTAATGTGTGTTTGAAATATCACTGAATTGTGGTGATGAAATTGGGTGCGTGGTTGCATAATTAATTGATTGAAATATGCCTATTGTGTGCACGCTTGGGCCAGACTGAATGAATTGTTAACTTGGGCATGTCAAATGTGTAGTGAGCATGAATTGTGTGTGAATTGATGCGTGCTCGGGCCACATGTGACTGGCCGATTGAGTGGCAAGTAACTGTTGAGCATGTGCATGAGCAAGAGAGTGAATGTGGTGTGGCATGTGCGATCGTGAAAATTGTGCTGTCCTGAGGCGTGTACTTCAACGCGGGTTGTGCAGTAGGTGATAGATGTTGAGCCTGAGGCGTGTACTGTAATGCGGGCGAGATACATGGCCTGAGGCGTGTACTGTAACGCGGGCCCTAAAGTGTTGTGATAAGTTTGTCGCAGTGGACCTGAGGCGTGTACTGTAACGCGGGCCACTGGCGAGAGTGTAAAAAAGATGTGGTTAGACCGGAACGAATGCGCAAGAATGAGAATTGAGCATGCATGTGATTGCATATATTGTGGTTGCGACTAACGTGCAGGGTGCAAGCAGGATAGGCCAGGTAAGATCAATTGATGTGTCTGCTATATGATGAGTGTGTGTGTGTGTGTGATTATATTTCGTGATTGTCTGGAGGTACGTGATAGCCTAGGTGGGGTTTAGGGGTGTACTTACTGAGATATATTCTCATGGTTGTTGCAACCAAACATTTCAGAACCCCGGCAGGAACCATGAATCCCCCGCCGCCGTCGCCGCCGGAACGTTTTGGGGTACCAGTACACATCGAGTATAAGGTTACAGAGTTTCCTATGGGCGACAACATGACCTGGATTAAGCACAGTACCACGGTATTTGTAGAAGTAGGACTACCTTTATGGGAGACCCATGTATACACTGCCTGGTTTTCCGGGATGGAGTTGATGAGTTCGGGCAAGTCAGGGGTTTTGATGTTCCTTTTGATTTGGTTGGGGATTGGGACCCGTCTGCCATACCTCCTATAGACGGGGAATTGACTAGTGCGGAAACTAGTTTAGCGCAATCTGGATTGCATCCAGCCCCAGTAGCACAAGGATCTTCAGGGGCTGAGCACGAACCCGAGCCCGAAGGATCGCAAGCAGAATTCGACCCGATGACATAGATTTAGAACCAATTCCCAAGGAGGAACCAGAGGAGGTAGAGTCCGAGGCAGAACCCGAGAGTGAGCCTGATGAGTCTGAGGAGGAACCGGAGTATATACTCCCATACAAGCAGTTTATGGATCCCAATTTCGTACCTGAGGAC